ACCTTTAATGTTAGCTATATTGCAAGATGTTGGCAATATTTTATTACGATATCTTACTACAGTATATAATGCATATCGCCGTTATTTTTGGTTAATTCTAATTCTTTCTTGTTTTTTTTTTTTTTTTTTGATTGAAATTATTTCATATGAAAATTAACTTTAATTCAATTTTAGCTTTTTGTATAAATTAATAATTATTATTGCTTTAAAATAAGTTATAATATATCTATAATTGAAATGTTTTTATAAAATTGGTTGTATAAAAAATTTTTCACTGAATCTCAAATTTTGAACAAAAATAAAGGACGATAAAATTTTATCAAAAATAAAAAATAAAAATTCAATTATAGATATATTGAACTGCATTAATTATATAGCAAATAAATGTTAGTACAATCTTTGATAATTTGCATCACTGATAAAAATTGTATGTATTAGAAGTAATAATGCGGTGAATGTATCAATGATAAATAGTATTATTAATTGAATAGTAAAACCAAATTGTCAAATTTTAGATAAAAATTTTGATACTTTAACGATAAAATAATCTTTTTCGGAAAAAAAGTTTTCTCCATCATTTATCAATTGTTCGTTATCATTCAAAAAAAAAAAAGAAAAATTCCGATGATATTTACATTTCTAAATAATCATTAAATGAAATGAAGAAGAATGAAATAAAATATTTTTCTAAACTATCATCAAAAAAACTCAATTCCTTTTTAATATCAATTTTTCATATATTCACTACACTATTGATCAATAATTGATTTGTTTTGTGATTAAATAAAATTAAGCAAATAAATGGTTTAAATAAATGAATTAAAAATACGCAAAAAAAGCATAATCTTAAAAAAAAAATCAAAATAAACGAAAAATTTGCTTGCATCAAAATATTTTCGTATTAAAATTTTATATCAAATTTGCATTTCTTCTTTAATTAAACATTTTAAATTTATGATCACAATACCAAACATTGACGAAATTCTTTAATAATAATTATATCAAGGCATAAATTACTTGAAATATTTCAGGAAAATGAAACTACGACATAGCAAAATATCAGATATTGAGAAGGATGATGTTGATTACAAGGTATGTTAATTTGCATTTGTTCAATTTTGTGTTTAATACATCTAATAATAAAATGTTTAAGTTACTTGATGAAAATTTTATCTCAACAATACATAAAAATTTTGGTGAGTTAGTTTAAAACAGAATTTGGCACAATCTGGAATAAATTAAGAACGAATTTTGTTTTCGAAATTGCTTCACTAAAATAAAGTCGTATCAACCATTTATTTTATTCCTTTATTTATTTATTTTTTGATGCAAAACTTTTAAGAAAGAAATTAGTTTTGAACTACAAAAAGTAATAAAATAATTACTTCAAAAAGTAAGTAAAAATTATTAAGAAGAATTATAGGATGAAATAACCAGTTGAGAATCATTTAACTAAATTAAAGTAGTAGTAATTTTTAAATATATAATAAAAATTAATCTGCAAAGGAATATATAAATTTGTTAGCTTAGCTTTAATAAATTTATTAAAATCAGATATTCTTTCTTTTTTTTTTTTTTTTTTTTGTAGTAAATGTCGTTTGTATTCGAAATAATTCAATATTTTAAGGACGTTGAATTTCCAATGAAGTTATTTATTCCAATTACTGCTATTTATTTGATAATTTGTACGATAATTGTGCTTCTGTTTGATCAAAATCATAGCATGCCATCTCAGATGACATTTGGCGACGCATTTTATTTCTCGTCTGTTTTTATTTGTTGTTATATGCAAATTTCATTTTTTTCCTCTTTTTTTTTTTTCAAAATATAGTGTTATTTTTCGAATTTAAAATAATTTTTTTTCGGACTTTTTCCTTTTCTTTTTTCTGTTTAGTTATCGTTTTTCTTTTTTTTTTTTTTTTTTTAGGTAGCTTTACACATTTAAAATATTTCATTAATTTTATATGAATGGATAATTTTAAATAAATAATTTAAATAAACAACATTTTCATTGAGACTAATTTTACAAGCCATAAAAATTTAGCAGACTACTGCTCATATATATATATATATATCTTAAAACTAATTTGTTGAAGTAAATTTGAGTTTGATTTATTCTAAAATGTTTAAAAATATTCAAATGTAATGCACTGCATACATATAAAAATAATTTAAGAAAGTATAAAATTAAATCATTAACTGATGAAAATTAATGATATTTTCAAATTGACAGAGCTTATAATGCACCATTTTTTTTTTTTTATGTGGCAATTGTTGAATAATCAAAATAAATTTTATCATTTATTTTTTCAATAATTAATCCTTAAGTTTAAAATTTGAGATATTATCGAATGTATATTGTAATAAATATTAATTAGTTTCATAACGATGGCAACAATTGGATTGGGTGATGTAATGCCAACAAATCTTGAACATAATCCAATTATTGCAATAATATTTCCTATTGGTTTAACACTTTTATCAGTTGTTAATAGTAATGGATATAAGCAATTAGAAAATTGTCTAATTAATGCAGCAATTAATTTGCAATTATTTTTTGAACGATTATTTCAACGATCACAGGGACATATGGTATTACAATGGTTGGCACCAAATATTGAGGTTTTCTTAAATTAGTATTATTATTTTCTTTTTTTTGCTTTTATTTTAATTGATATAATAAAATTATGTGATAGAAATATAATGAATTTAATTATCATTCTTATCATTTTCTCTAACTAATAATATTATATATGTTTTAAAAAAATGCTTTATTTATTGTTGCTATTAGTTATACATTGTGACAAAAAAAAATTAATATTTTTTTTATTAACTAATTTTTAAAAAAATTATTAAAATTTATTCATTCCATAATTATCACTCATTTCTTATAATTAATGCAATTTCACTGCTTAATTTTATGCAAATTTCAGTTATTAACTATTGCATTACCAATTTTCGATGATAATATCATATTTGCTGATGGTATTCTGCAAGCAACAATGGATAACTATCAATTGAATAATGATTATGATATGATAGGACATGATGCTACCTTGGGAATTTTTTCATCAGCTTCTTCTAATGATAATTATAATGTACGGTATATAATAGTATAAAATATATGCCTAAATATATTTTTTATATTAAAATTTACTATAGGAATCGATCAATTTGCAACAGGTGCTGCTTAGAATTGCTTAGTGTTGTAAGTAAATTATATTTAAGCTTAAAATTTTCAAATTCAATTTGTAAATCTTTTTAAGTCATTTATACAAAAAAAAACTAAGTAATTTTGAAGTATTAATAAAATTCCAATATTTCTTCACTCTTTTTACACTAAATTGATGCATGTTGTTAGTGATCAAATCAAATTCGTTGCGTCGTGATATTATCATTTATTTACTGAACTTTTTCTTTTTTTTAAAAAAATTTGATTTTTTTTTTTTGTTTGCAGGAAAATATGCAATTAAAATATGGCATAGGAATACTACCGGAAATTAATTTAAAATATGGTGTGTATTATTTAATAAATATTTCAATAGTAGTGTTTAACATCAGTATTCAATAATAATCAATAATTTTCATTTTTTTGATACATAATTAAAATTTAATACTTTGTGTTCGTCAAATTTTCAAATTTCTTTTTTTTTTTTTTTTAGATTTAAATCATAGCACTGGAAAGAAATTAATACGTCGAGCGTTAACGTCTGGTCCAAAGATGCAAAACGTCAAACGTATTCGAACAATGAGCGGTATCTAAAGTGAAAATAATAATAATAATAATAAAATATCAAATAATAATCATCCGTGATACAAATTATAATAATTGCATATTTCACGTGTATATGTGTACGTTATATTATAATACTATAATGAATAGAATAATTTAGGTGATAAAAATTTCATGACAATATAACTTATTAATGAGTTATTTTTAAAAACTATTTTTGTTTTTCAAAAAAAGAAAACTGAAAGTCCAAAAATTAATTGTGAGAAATTTATTGACTAAATGGTTAAATTATTGATATCCTTATCGAAGATTAACAAACCAAATTGTTTATCTATTATATTCTTTGTTCAGTTAATTTTTATTGAATAAAATAAACAATACAAATTGTTTCAACAATAAAATATGGCCAAGGGAGAGAGAGAGAGGCAAAGAGACAGAGAAAGAGAGGCAGAGAGGATTAGTTGATTGAATGAATAATATTTGATCAAGATTCTGTTATATTATATTTCCAAATTTGTTAATCCTAATAGCTGCTAATCGGAATGTTCATTGCAGGACATTTTCGTTGAGGAAATTCAATAAAATTGTTTGGATATTAACTTCTCTTATCTATTTCAAAAAACTGACCTCCAAACTTCTTGAAATGTAAAGTTTCAAATTCAAACTCTGTCTCCTTCCTGTCTCATGCCACTCCCATTTTTTCACCCATTTTTTCTAGTGCTATTAAGTTGCAATAGTTTGAAAAATTCCTACAATAGAATTCTTTCTCCGGTAGTGTCAACAGCTCTTAGTTGAAATTGCCCGAGGTATTTGCTATTCGGTACTTGGTGGTACTTCTGGTGGTTTTTATGGTGTTCTCGTGGAAGTGTCCTAGTGTACTGCTGTAAATAATTTTTGTAATTTATTCCGATATTTCACTTTTTTCCTTTAAATGGACATTTCTCTTACTCAATACAGTTGTGGTGAATCTATTACATATGGAAGTGTGGTAAAACAGTGAAATAATACTCAAATCATCATTTAGCAGCAAAATTACGATTTCATAACTGAATTGTGAAAACTTTAGAACCATACCTTTTCTTTTTGATGGGTAAAGTTGAGAATTGGAGATTATCTGATCTTTATTCGATCATAAGATATTGAAAAGGAACTATAAAATCAAAACTGTTACAGGATGATTAAATAATTAATGCATACGGTACAGCTATTGTATTCACTAATCATATTCTTTGCCATCGTAACTCATAATTAACTTTAGGAAAATCAAATGCTAGTGAACGGACGCGGTTTGGCACAGTTATGCACCGATGAGTCATACGAATCGAAATATTCCGGTGTTCTCTTTCTGTTACAGGTTGGTTCACTGTTACTAGTGTAAAATTTAGTGTCTATTGTTAATGATATAGATTTCATATTGTTAATAAGTCACTATTGAGACTGATACTGGACTTGTTCAGAAACTGAAATGAAATATTTTAAATATTTCATTTGCTTGTCTTTATATTTTTATTCAACAAGACTTTTGAAATGTAACCACATAAAAATACCTCTAACGATATAAAATTGTTATTCTGTTAACTCAGATTGAAATCGGTAAATATGATAAAACAAACTTTGTCAGTTTGTTTACAATCCAATAATTAGAAAGTTGCTTTTGTTAGGATTTAAGTCATTTTTAATTGGTATTTTTTTCAAATAAAAATTTTTTTTTGCATTTGTATTTTAGATTGCACATATAAATTTAAATATCAGTGCTTAAGTAAGAAAATTTTTTAGATAACAGTAAAGTACTTTGGAAACCTCTGTTATTTTTGGACTTTATTATGTAATTAATAATCATTATGGAAGGTTAATTATAGGATGGACGTTGGCGATCGTTGTACGCTATATTAAAAGCTAATTTATTGTTTTTATTCAATCAGCCTGAAAATGTCGGAGTTAAAGCACCATGTATAATTCTGATTTTGGAGGACTGTTACATGGAATTGTGTGATGATAATACAACAAAACGGTCGTATTCCTTTGAAGTCATTTTAAAAACGTATGTGGCAACCTTTGATTTTTAAAATCAACTTTATTTGATTTATATACATCAAGGGTGTGGCTTCAAAGAGTAGACTAAAAATAATACCTCAAAATAATTCGTCTAAAAGGAAATTGACCCCCAGCTAATTGATGATCGGGGAACAATTACATCTTTCGACAGAACACGATCAAACCAAGCTGCCTTCTCTCTCTCTGTCTACCTTTTCACCTTTCTGTCGTCAATAGTAGTAGCCAATATTTTTGCTGATTTCTTATGTTTAAAATTTAAATAAGAATTTAAACGAAAGAAGAAGACCTTGTTAGAAATTTTTCAATTTTCAGGACTGGACGAAGATTCACATTTGCTGCGGACAGCTTTAAGGCCTTAGAACGGTGGATTTCGTCATTAACGGTCGCTTCATTGGAATATATTACCATCACAAAACAGTCATTTTTGGAACAATTAAATGACAGTGAAAAAAAGACCTAATATTAGAGAATTTTGAACCGCATAATTCCTGATGATATTTACTGCCTAATGCTGATGGCAAAGCTCCAGTGATAAAGCAACAAAAGCGATTCTGTTGTTCGATAATCAAATTTGGAACTTTATAGACTTTGTGCTTTGTGCTGAAGAGCTGTCTTCTAGTTTCATATTTTTGCATTTGTATAGGAAAGTTTTGGAATTTTTCATTCTTTGTAACTGTATATTTGGTTATTTACGGGTTTAAAAAATTTTCTTACATAGTAAAATGACGAAATGATCTGGTGAAAAATATATTGCCTTTGCAGCTTGCAACTTTGGTATCTGATATACTAGGTAGATAAGTGAAGCATTTTTCGAGTTACCAGCAACACTGTCATTTTTATGTTTTACTCTGTAAATCACTATGATCTACTTATCTCACTTGGTTTTGAATAAATTATATTTGGAAACAGAATTATGTAATATGTTTCTTCCTGACTGCAGTTTCTGCTTATATGTGTGTCGATTCATTTTCTTGAAGTAAGAAAAATGTGCCAAATAGTTCTTAGTATTGTATAAACTGCACGAACTGAGATAGAGATGAGATTAACGCTGGTATCCTGATAAGGGTTCCGGAATCCTGAGATTTTTCATTTCGGTCCCGATGAGGTTATGTGTGTTTCTTGATGATAGTAGTATAACCATAGGTTAGTAGTATAACCTATAACCATAGGTTATACTACTATCATGAAATGCGTCATGACATAAGATTTTTGGAAATTTCAGAGGAGAATACCAACAATTTAGTGAATTCGGGAAATCAAAACGGCGGGAGATGCCGGCAAGTTTTCAGTTTTTTAAATTTATAGTTTAAGCTTACCAACTTTTCATAGGGTCGTTTCTTTGTTGATACCAATTTTGTTTTGCTAGATGAATTTTGGATTTTACGCTGAGAAACAATTTTTTACTTATGAGAAGACTGAAATGATGGTATTCTCTTTAAGGCATATCATTCGAAGTTTACTGATGTTACAGTAGTTGTTGGAAACATGGCAGTTCTTCCAATCCGATCAAGTATCAAAGGACCCGCTCCACGAATTGGTGGGTTGCACATATAACATTTATATTCTGCAGTAAATAAATCTGCTTTAGTGCTGTCTTTAATTTGTTAAGCATAAAGTTATGTAGTTTTAATGAATCAGGCATGTATTTCATTCCTTATTGATTTATGTGTGGTGGCTTGAAGCTTAGAAAATCATTAACAATTCCAAAAAATTCTCGTATTTGTCTTGCTTCCATCACAATAATACTGAAATGTTGAAGTTTAACAGTATTTCAGGAATAGTATTGCTAAATAGGTCTGAGTTAGAAAATCTAAAATGATGTTTATAGGTCATTTAAATGAATTGTTTCAGACGATGGTGAAGATATAATTGATGAAGCTCTCGCTTATTTTAAACCGAACATTTTCTTCCGGGAATTCGAAATTAAAAGTCCTGCCGATCGAACACTCATCTACCTGACATTGTACATTTCGGAATGTCTAAGGAAGCTACAAAAGGTAACTTTTCAAACAAATCAATGTCAGCAGCAGTTTTCTAAGAGATTACTGTTGCTTGTTAGTATATAAGCTGTTTAATTTATGATTTATTCATTCAATTTTTTAATAGTTCGTTTATGTAGACAGAACATTTTCTTATCATCTTTTGTGGTAATTGAAATTGAAGTGTAAAGTAACATGTTTCATATTTCATTAAAGGGAAGTTTATTTTAGTTATTTTATGTGGGAGTAACTAGGAGATATTTAAATATTTCTTCCAGTTTTTCTATAATTTCTCTTTCTGTCTTCTTTTTCCTTTTTTCATATCATTATTTTAGAAGAAATATTTGAAATAACTAAAAAAAAAACTTATGCAGTGAACTCCAAAAATTTATTTTTCAGAGTTCAAATAAATCTCAAGCAGTAAAAGATTTGTCAGCTTTGGCACTGAGCCATCATCTTCCTATACCCGGAGAGGCATCTTTTCCACTGAATAGTATGTATAAGGCTCCAGCAAATCGAAGTGAAGAAGGTGAGTGTATGATCTAAAATTTCATAATCCATTTCTATTAATAGCAACTTTTCTTTATTAGCACTTAGAATATTCAGTGGACCGTAAATTTGTTCAGAATTATGTTTTGATAACAATTGATTATTTACTTTATAGTTTTCAGTGCTGAATGTTTAGATTTTTGCTTGAGGCAAATTTATCAGTATTCCAATGAAACAGTGATAATTCTGTCTCTTACTGATTCTTGAATTAGTGATTTCTTTTTGATTTGTTTATCAGTCTGCTTTTTCAGATGTTATGCGTTCATATCTCCTACAGTTGAGACAGGAATTAGGGACACGCTTGTTAGAACATGTTTTTGGAGCGAATAGTGAAAAGCCAAATAAAGTGAGTTGTTTTCTACCAGGTTCCGTAAATTTTCTAAAAGGCAGAAATATTTGACAGGTTTTCATATTCATCAACTTTTTGTTTCTAGCATTCAGACTACCTTAAACTATGAAAATTCGTGAATACAGAGAGCATAGACAGTGTTACCATTATACATTTGTAAGTGCTGTTGCAGTGGTGGATGTGTTTTGCTCGAAGACGTTTTATGGATAAGGGCTTGGTTAGTCCCGGTATTGTTTTGTAGAAGTATTTCCAAGAAAAGATGATGTGATTGTTAGAAATCGAAATTATTTCAAAGCTTTTTTTTTTCGCCTTCGCTGTTTTTTTCCCTAAATGTTACACTTAAATTTTCATTTTTATATCAATATCTAAGTGAAATATTTAAAAAAAGAAACATATCTGTTCAATTCATTTAAATTTATATGTTAGAAGCAATCATTTATCCTTTATGTGCTGAACCTATTCTGCTAAATCAGCTTATAATTTGTGTATTATCACGAAGAAAAGTGTAGTCTATACTTTTGTTTTTGAATATAAAAATTAAGTAACGACTTGTTTTTGAATGTTCATCATTTGAATTCTGAAACATTTCGATTTTTGTTCCATCAAGTAATAGTAATAATAATAAAATAGTGAAAAGAGAAGGAAGTAAAGGAAAAAGGAAGATGAAGTTGATATGAAGTTAAATTTTAATGATGTATAATTTTATTCGGTGTGATTTTCTTTTCTTCCTTCTTTTTATGCATTTTTTTTTATCGAAGTTTTTACGATGATAGTAAAACGAATAGCTATGAATTTGATTAAAAGTTTTCTTGATAGCTTATACTTTATTCTCTTTTATTATTTTAGAAGTCAATTAGAATAGTTTAAGTTTAGTAAGTGATATTGTTGTGTTACTTTGAGAGAGGGAAAATTACTATGGTATGCTAATTGGTATGCAAGTGCTATTTCCCAATTCCATAAAACAAAAAAAAAAAAAAAAAAAAAAAAACAAAGGATACAGTGCATTTCTAGCACAATTAAAGAAAAAAAAATTACAGGTATTCGTTATTATCATTATTATTTATTATCATACTATTATATTATTAATTGTTATTATTATATTAATTATTATTGTTATTCTGTATATAACGACTTAAGAAAAATAAAATTAATAAATTATTGAATCAAATTTACAATGAGTGGGTGAAGGACAGATGAATGAATGATACATCATATTTGATTGTTGTTGTGGTTGCGACAGATGTGTGTTACCAATGGCTATCTTGTCATTCTGACTGAATGGATCGATGGTTAATTGGTTGATTTGATATGGATTGGATGAGTGAACAAAGAAGAAAAGAATGGAAAATAGAGAAAAGGTATTTACAGGTAGAAGGTGAAGTTGGTTGATAGTCATCGTTGGTTGTTGATTATTTCAAGGTTGATGTAAGGAAGGAATTACACGGACGCCAATATCAAAAAAAAAAAAAAGATGAAAAGAAGGAAAAGATATGAACCATCAACAAAATGTTTGAATCATTTATTACCATTCAACATTTTCCTATTCAAATGCAAAAATATATGCATTGTTTATGCATATATGTATATTGAATATCTAATATATTTGAATGTGCGTATTCTACCAATCATTACTTGTATTAAATCTAAAAAATTTTCTAATTTTAAAATTCTTCAATTGTAATTTTTTATAAATCTAGTTTTAGCATTTGTCATTCGTCATCATCGGTTAAATTTTTATCCACTTGTCGGTTGTTAGTTTTTCAAATACAAATCTAAACAAAATTCTCCATGCACTTAAACATGATTTTGAAATATTTGTTTTCATTTGCAATATTCAAAACAAAGAGGCACACAGAAATTAACATTCCATGTATTGCTTGGTCAAACAATCGTAAACACTGAATAAAATGAAATGATCTCAGTCTAGTATCTAATAAAACACTTGCATGATAATATCTGGTAATACATCATAATTTGTAGCTTTAAATATTTAATCTTTTTTTAACTAAAGTAAATTTTTATTTGTTACTGTAGCAAGGTATTGCAAGAATTTAATAGGATCCAATAGACATTATAATTTTAATTAAGAAGCTGTTCTTGAATGGACTGGAATTGAGGCAAGGAACGAAGAAAAGATAATTTAAAAAAAGATGAATTTCTGGATGTGAGCATAATTTTTTGGAAATAGATATTTCAGGAGTAATTGGTAAACAATTAACATTTTCGTAACTTTTCGAGTGCTGTAATTATGTAAGCATGAATCATACAAACATTTACGTACCTTTCCTCATTAGTCAGTTCATTGCGATGATTCAAAGCTCCAAAAGCATATAATTAATTGTTCTAGTTGAACCATCCGAGCTGCCCACAAATGAAAACACTTTCTGGGAGCAATTATTATTTTTCCTAAAATATTATTTTTCTTTATGAATAATTCTGGAATGTCATGATGTGATTTTTTGCAGAAAATCAAACATTAAAAGTTCGATAATTTGCGGTACAAATAATATTATATTTAATAATTTAAAAAAAAAAAAAAAGAAATCATAAATAGGGCTCTTTTGGTTTTTATGTGCTTGAAAATATGGTGCAAAAAAAAAAATTCACTTCCTAAGTATTTGATGAAATTTGTTTAATTTGACCTGAAATCGGATAGCGTCAAAATGCGTTGAATAGAAATAAAACAAAACTGCATGCAGAAAGAAATTAGCGAAGTGGTGCAAGAAATTAATATGTTGTTTAATTAAAAAAATAATAATAATAAAGTGCGAAAGTATGAAAAATTCAAGTCAACAAATAAACACGTACTCTAATAGAAGCAGTAGAAAAAAAAAAAAAAAAAAAAAAAACTTTGCATTAATGAAAATTAGCATAAAAATGTGCAAGATCAGAGCAATGAGAAAGATTCAAAACTCCAAGTTACACAAAATATTTAATAACATGAATGAGTCTATAATATTCTACTATGAGAAAGAGAATGGTAAGAGTAAGAGTAAAAGTGATAAAAATAAACAGTAACGAAAATGATGTGACAAAAATGATCAGTGATAAAAACAGTGATAAAAATGAACATCCACTATGTTCTTTTATTCTTTCGTGCTTCTGAAAATATACAAATATTTCGCTTGTGTACATGAAGACTGTTCCATCCTTTTCTTTTTGTCAATTGTTTCCTTTAATTTATGCAGATTTTTATTGAATTTCTTAAAAATGAAAAATCAAATAAATTGCATGCAAATTATTGCTTCTGAGTTTTGGACAATTCAGTGAGATTTCTTCAGCAACTTCTTCCTTATTGAGTTTATTTTTACAGTCGTCTAATATTTTGATGTCTCAACAATTATACCTCAACAAAGAGTCCATTTATAGCTTATTTATGTAGTTGCATGGATGCGCTTTTTCACTTTATTTTATTATTAATTAAAAATAAAAATTAAAAATATTAACAAAAAAATAATCGAAATATTTTAAAAAAGTAGAAATGAAATAAGAGGAAGAGTTGCAAAGAAATATCAAATGACTAAAACAAATCCAAGACGAGAAAGTTACCAGCAAAATGAAAAACTTCAATCAAAAAAAAAACGAAAAAATTTGAATGTTATATTATCCTTATGCGATGGGTAATTCGATAGTTTTAACTAAACGGTAAATCAATTAATAAGACATAATGAAGATTAAGATACACTGCTCAGTGCTTGCTGAAGATGCTATAAAACCGTTATTCATGATTATCAAAGTAAACATAGTAAAAATGAAAGCTAAAAAGTTATGAATGAATATCAAGGAGTTAAATACTGTAAAAAAAGATGGGAAACCTATCAGCATAATTGCAAATGTAGTTGAAAGGATAAGGATAGAGATATTTATTGGATCAAAAGCAACATGCTAACCTTAAACAAAAGGGATGTTCTGGTTTAAAATAGATATTGAATACACTTTAGAATCAGTAATTAAAGAAAGCTGTAGTGATGGTCAAAAAGTTAAAGTGTCGATCGATCCAAAATCTATCATGTTTATTCTTGGCTCTGAAATGGATTATGGATTAGAAAAATTCTCATCGGGTTTTGTTTTCAAAAATCTTAATGAGAAAGGAAAATATGGTTGTGGGGAGAGACTTCGCATTGTTTAAAATTAAACCAGCTTTTAACATCAGCTCTGATGAGCTAGAGAAAAAATATATTGGGCTAAGCAAAACTGATCTAAATGAAAGACAGTTCCATACATGAGAAATATCAACAAAGCTTATCAGATGCTAAACTTAAATAAAGAACCTCCAAAAAAGTGCGGAGCATTTGCTGAACCTTTTTGGTGCAAGAAGTCAAAAGGATCAACATAACTTTGAGATATTAAATGAATCAATAATAAGGGAGTACTTACTGGATTACAATAATCTGCAGTTTGCAAGTGGTATGATTGATGAAAAAATAAAAGATTGCATTAAAAATCTAACTGATAATTTTGCCGTAAAAAATTTTGATGAAGTGGCAATACGAGTTTTGAGATTGAAATACTCATATAAATCATTTTAAGAGATAAAAAATGCGACCAATTCAAATTTCTGAACCAAACTGAAATGAAATAATTTTTGGTATAGACCTTGGTACTACTAACTCTTTAATTGCTGTGATAAATAAAGCTGTAACATGGTGATATTTAAAAATGAGCAGGAAAGAGAGCCACTGCCTTCTAATATGTCATTTCATTGAAAAAAAAAAAAACATATTAAAAACCGGCTGGCCAAAATGTTATCTATTCCATAAAACGCTGATGGATAAAAGTGCTGAAGACTTAAATAAAGAAGGTATCAATCTTGAAATAGATAATGAAAGTGAAAAAAATATTAGAGTAAAATGCTCGGAGTTTGAGATTTCTCACTCCTATTGAGATTTCTGCTGAGATATAAAAATCTTTGTGTGAAAGAGTAAAAAAGTCCACAGAGATGGAAGTAAGAAAAGCGGTGATTACTGTTCCAGCTTACTTTGATGATTCAGCGCGTAATGCAACAAAATTAGCTAGCATAGAAGTTCTTCGCCATTAATGAGCCACCCGCAGCAGCACTTTCTTATTTTATTGCAAAGAACAATAAGAGTGGGATATATATAAAATTTACATATTAAAATTACATCAAGGAGTGTTTCAAGTTCTTGCGGTTGGTGGTGACACCAAACTTGGTGGTGATGACTTTGATCACCTTCTAAGTATGATTATATTGGATAAATGCAGAAAGAAAATAGGTAAAGATCTCAGTTCTCGTAAGCATTTATTTACAATATCACGATCAATAAAGGAGCACTTATGCAAGAACATTTCTAGCACTTTTAAATTCAACATTATTGGTGAATTGTTTAAATGCAAAATTACAAATGAAGAATTCGAACAGACAATCAGTTCTTTAGTTAACAAAACTATTAATATAGTTAGTCACTCATATTATAAGCAACATAGATTGCATCTCTGCCAAATGTGTACCACCATCCCATTTCTCGTAGTAGGAGTCATTCCACTTCATTCATATTTCTATGCTGTTACCAAGATCTTTTGCATTACCCTTCATGCTGGTAAGTTTGGTAACATACGTTTTATTCTAATCTAGTACCGCATGAAATTTGCTGTGCCAAAATTGTCTTTAGATTGTTTACTGTCGTTAAAGTAAGTAAGACTCTATATACGGTTTGTCACGCAAAGTGATGTTGATACTAGCATTTAAAAAAGCTAATTCTCTGATACGATTTTCAAGAGTGGAGAAAATCAATACTACTAAAAGTCTCCGTTGACGGTATAAATGTTACTCTACTCCCTCATTTGTTTGTCTTCTTATTTATTCACCATCTTCAAAGCACATAGAGCGTTCTTCCTTATTGCGCCAAATAGTTAATTCCAGCCAGCTTGACAATGCATTTTCAACTGAGATACCAGCACCATGTACCACGTAATCCGTTAGAAACCTTTTAGTTATATTGCTACCACATTTACCACATTCGTGCAGTTGGGTCATTATTATTATCTATGTTGCTGATATTTCCTTCTTTGTAAAGGATATCAGCTGAAATGCCACAACCATTATCAGTTACAGATACTGAGCTATCCTCATCTATGCTAACCTCAATTTTGCCATAAAACCCCAGCACTAAAGACTCATCTATACCTTATTATCAGCAACCCCATATATGGTATAAATGTTACTCAACTCCCTCATTTGTTTGTTTTCTTATTTAATTAATTAAAATTAAATTTGATAATCTAGAACCAATTTCCTTCTTTAATGTACAAAAACTATTACAAATTATAAGATTTTTAAAAAATTTAAAATTTAAATTTGAAATAAAATTTAATTTTAATTCTTAAGTTGAATTAAAACCATGATTAATTGTAATTTTTATTAATTTTGCTGATGAATTTTTGCGCAAAACTTTATTACAAAAGCTTATATTATTATTTAAACTATAAAATGACCATATATGAACAGCTCTGCAATGCACATGAAATAATTAACTAATTCTTAAATATCTATTTTTTAAATTAATTGCTATTTTTAGCGGATTCAGCACTTAATTAAAATTATAATTTGTTAATTTTAAATTAAATTTGAAAATTAAATTTGGTTCATAATTGCTATTATTTCACAACTGCTATTAGTTTCGCTTTTTCACAAATAAAGAGATTTCACTTTAGAAAATATATTTGCACATGTAATTAATTTCCTGTTTAATAATTCTTCAGAAACAATTTTTCACATTTCAAAAAACTGTATAAACTATAACTAAACTGCTCATTAGAATCTACATAAACGCATGGTTACTATATTTCACTTAGATTAAGAAGAGATTTGTTTTGAAATCCTGTTTGTCTGTACGTAACACTGGAATTTAGAAATTTTTTATGATCAAATTCTAAATCAGAAAAACAGAAAAAGAATGTTACTCAATGAATGATAAACAATAGCCTTTTTTGCGTGCGTATTCATGCAACGAATACACATTCTCTCCCAATTCACTTCTACTAAAGTATGTTGTTGGTTGGGTTTCTCTTTTGAAAGACTATTCTTGGAAGGGAGGCATATAATTCAGACCAGTATAAAATCCTGCACGCACCCCCCTTATTCTTACTTCATCAGCAATTTTTTTCTGATCCCTAGGGGGACCAATAAATTCTCTTTTGTTTTTTGCCAATGATCGCACTTTTTTTTTAGTGATGGAGTTCCCCCTCTCAAACTAGTGAACGAATTATCTCCTCTTCCACATCCTTACAAATTAGTGTGTGGTCCTGGCGAGAGAATCGAGCGCTCAACCTATTGATTAAAGGCCAGTTGCTCTACCGGCTGAGCAATCCCACTCGTTTTCAGCTACATTAAACAGTGAAATAGATAGAGAGCAATAGTATATAGTAATTTTGTATAGCTCAGTTATGCCAGAATTGGAGTTATAATTGATTACCTATCCACTAACCCAGAAAAACTTCAGACTTTTGCTAACAGTAATTCCTGAGCAATAGTTTGTAATTGGTGAATAGTTAAGTGGCCTATTAAAATTTCGGGTTGACCATCAGTTAGACGTTCTACCGTGGATTGAAGTTGGTAGCTATTAAAACTTTTTTTAAGAATCTTTAATTGATGATTAGTTCGGATTTGCTAAACTTTCGACTTGGATATCTGTCAGATTTTCAATAATTACAGATTCGCAAAATTGGAATATAATATCAAGTGGGCTTTGTGAGTTTTGTAACGTATTTTTAGTTTTAACATTTATCTCCCAATAAAAATTAGATACTCCACTTGCTAACAAGCTTTAGATAGTATTTGACTATTCTAATTTTATATTATACCAGTTACGATTGGATTATATACGTGCCACATTATGTATCATGTTGGACACAGATCAAGTTTCATCTTCGAGAGAATAATAGAAAATTTAATTTGTATGTATATTATTTTTATAATGCGTTGCATAATTTTTTTTGCTCTATCTATCCAAGAAGATTTTCCTCTTTTACCTTGTAACACTTTTTACCATCAGTTTCTATTGGGGTACTTTTTGCTATCTTAAAAGCATATTTTTTTCACTCATTAAAATCTCTCGATAAGTTTGCAGCTATTAATATTGTAACATCTATTGGTTGATTTATTAATAAAATCTATGTTACTATTTAATATGGCTGAAAATGAGTGGGGTTGGTTAGTTAATGCATAGCTCAGCCGGTAGAGCAGCTGGCGTTTAATCAGTAGGTTGAGTGGTCGATTCTCGCCAGGACCACACTACTAAATTGTAAGGAATAATTATGGTGTTGAAGAGGAGATAATTCGTTCACTAGTTTGAGAGGGGGAACTCCACCACTAAAAAAAAAGTGCGATCATTGGCAAAAAACAAAAGAGAATTTATTGGTCCCCCTAGGGATCAGAAAAAAATTGCTGATGAAGTAAGAATAAGGGGGGTGCGTGCAGGATTTTATACTGGTCTGAATTATATGCCTCCCTTCCAAGAATAGTCTTTCAAAAGAGAAACCCAACCAACAACATACTTTAGTAGAAGTGAATTGGGAGAGAATGTGTATTCGTTGCATGAATACGCAAAAAAGGCTATTGTTTATCATTCATTGAGTAACATTCTTTTTCTGTTTTTCTGATTTAGAATTTGATCATAAAAAATTTCTAAATTCCAGTGTTACGTACAGACAAACAGGATTTCAAAACAAATCTCTTCTTAATCTAAGTGAAATATAGTAACCATGCGTTTATGTAGATTCTAATGAGCAGTTTAGTTATAGTTTATACAGTTTTTTGAAATGTGAAAAATTGTTTCTGAAGAATTATTAAACAGGAAATTAATTACATGTGCAAATATATTTTCTAAAGTGAAATCTCTTTATTTGTGAAAAAGCGAAACTAATAGCAGTTGTGAAGTAATAGCAATTATGAACCAAATTTAATTTTCAAATTTAATTTAAAATTAACAAATTATAATTTTAATTAAGTGCTGAATCCGCTAAAAATAGCAATTAATTTAAAAAATAGATATTTAAGAATTAGTTAATTATTTCATGTGCATTGCAGAGCTGTTCATATATGGTCATTTTATAGTTTAAATAATAATATAAGCTTTTGTAATAAAGTTTTGCGCAAAAATTCATCAGCAAAATTAATAAAAATTACAGTTAATCGTGGTTTTAATTCAACTTAAGAATTAAAATTTAATTTTATTTCAAATTTAAATTTTGAATTTTTTAAAAATTTTAAAATTTGTAATAGTTTTCTTCCATTAAACAAGGAAATTGGTTCTAAATTATCAATTTTAAATTTAATTCAGTTCCAAAACTACTAAAAATAGCAATATTTTGAACTTAATTGATTATGTTATATGCGTTGCAGCAGAGCGGGTCATATATGGCGTGGTCATTTTATAGTTTAAATATTAAAATACGCTTTTGTAATTGAGTTTTGCACAAAATTTGAATCGGAGAATTAATAAAACTTTCAATTAATCATGGTTTTAATTCAATTTAAGAATTAAAATTAAATTTCATTTCAAATTTAAATTTCGAATTTTTAAAAATTTAAAAATTTGCAATAGTTTTCTTCCATTAAACAAGGAAATTGGTTCTAAATTATCAATTTTAATTTTAATTAAGTGCCAAAACTATTAAAAATAGCAATATTTTAAAGTTAATTGATCATGTTGTATGTATTGCACGAGAGCGGAAAATAGTGAAGGAATATGTGAAGAAATGATGAAAAATGTGAAGGATTATGTGAAGAAATGATGAAAAAAGTGAATATATGGTGTGGTCATTTTATAGTTTGAATATTAAAATACGCTTTTGTAATTAAGTTTTGCGCAAAAATTCATCAGCAAAATTAATAAAACTTTCAATTAATCGTGATTATAAGCATAACATAATTAATTCAAAAATTTGCTATTTTTAGTAGTTTTTGGCACTTGATTAAAATTAAAATTTATAATCTAGAACCAGTTTCCCTGTTTATTGTACAAAAACTATTAGAATTTTAAGATTTTTAAAAAATTCAAAATTTAAGTTTGAAATAAAATTTAATTTTAATTCTTAAATTGAATTAAAATCACGATTAACTGAAAGTTTTATTAATTTTGCTGATGAATTTTTGCGCAAAACTTAATTACAAAAGCGTATTTTAATATTCAAACTATAAAATGACCACACCATATATTCACTTTTTTCATCATTTCTTCACATAATCCTTCACATTTTTCATCATTTCTTCACATATTCCTTCACTATTTTCCGCTCTCGTGCAATACATACAACATGATCAATTAACTTTAAAATATTGCTATTTTTAATAGTTTTGGCACTTAATTAAAATTAAAATTGATAATTTAGAACCAATTTCCTTGTTTAATGGAAGAAAACTATTGCAAATTTTTAAATTTTTAAAAATTCGAAATTTAAATTTGAAATGAAATTTAATTTTAATTCTTAAATTGAATTAAAACCATGATTAATTGAAAGTTTTATTAATTCTCCGATTCAAATTTTGTGCAAAACTCAATTACAAAAGCGTATTTTAATATTTAAACTATAAAATGACCACGCCATATATGACCCGCTCTGCTGCAACGCATATAACATAATCAATTAAGTTCAAAATATTGCTATTTTTAGTAGTTTTGGAACTGAATTAAATTTAAAATTGATAATTTAGAACCAATTTCCTTGTTTAATGGAAGAAAACTATTACAAATTTTAAAATTTTTAAAAAATTCAAAATTTAAATTTGAAATAAAATTAAATTTTAATTCTTAAGTTGAATTAAAACCACGATTAACTGTAATTTTTATTAATTTTGCTGATGAATTTTTGCGCAAAACTTTATTACAAAAGCTTATATTATTATTTAAACTATAAAATGACCATATATGACCAGCTCTGGTGCAATGCATATGAAATAATTAACTAATTCTTAAATATGTATTTTTCTTTTAATTAATTGCTATTTTTAGCAGGTTCAGCACTTAATTAAAATTAACTAGATTCAATTTCCTTGTTTAATGTATAAAAGCTATCAAAATTCTATTTCAAGAAGATGAAAGTGTAAATGGCGTTGCAACAGCTGACGTTGGAATAATGAAGAATGGTGCACCAAAGGTTTTTTGAATCCTTTATTTTTCTGATTGTTTATAATTATTTGACTCTCAGAGAAGGTCATAGATGGTAAAGAATTTGGAGTTTGACATATGTTTTTTATAAAATATAATATGTGAAGAATTGCAATATTAGATTTATTAAATAATTTAAAACAAAAAACTTATAACAAAAGAAATTTTGTTCGTGTTTTGCATTTAAGTCATTCCATCGTTTTTAGAAAAATTTTCAACGGGGCATGGAATTGCAAGCAAAATGCACAATATTTGCTGAAGTTTGCCGTGGACATCGTTCCTATTTTATAATGGAAAAAGTAAGTTTTTTCTATAATCCTGAGTTACAAAACTTCAGTTTAGCCAAATACGTCAAAGCAATTTTTTTTTTTTTTTCAATCCTAGTACCGCTTGCAAGAAGAATGCGATCCAATGACTTATGGCCTTGGTTTCAAAGAATTATTGTTAATAGATAAATCAAAGCACACTCCTGGCTATGTGGAACATACCATGGGATATCCACTGGTGAATTTTTATTCAAACATTTCTGTTGTTAAAAGATATTTTACGAACTAACTTAAAAATAGTGATTTATACAATGTTTTCTAGGATCTTCAAAGCCATGGTGGATCGTTCATGTATCACATCGAAGACAATGGTCAGCCTCTTGTTTCTCTCGGCCTTATAATTGGTCTAGATTACAAGAATCCTCATACAAATTTGTATCAGGTAAGTCCATTTCATGAAATGAATGAAGATTTGGTAAACGATAGGTTATTCGGTTATTATTGTGATCTCAAATTTTTTTTTTTTTTTAATTTTTTAATTTTAAAATTTACTCCTTCTTTCTTCTTGAAAATTTGCTTTTAGGAATTCCAGTTGTTCAAGTCTCATCCATCCATTCGTCATTATCTCGAAGGTGGGGAGCGAATTGCATATGGTGCTAGAACAGTGAATGAAGGAGGATATCAAACAGTACCTCAGCTAACTGTGCCTGGTGGATGTTTGGTTGGTTGTGCAGCAGGGCTGATGAATCCAGCAAAGATTAAAGGTGTTCATAATGCCATGAAAAGTGGTATGATCGCAGCGGAAGCAATATTCGAGGACCTAGGTCCACAGACACGAAGTAAAGCCTATTCGATTATTTGTCCCAAACATTACAACAACAATGAATTTTAACTTCATTAGTTTATTTTTATTTATTTATTTATTTTTTTTTTTTTTTTGAAATCTCAGCAGTAATTCCGGAAGATTTCGAGCCAGAACTATACAAAAGCTACGTAATTAAAGAAATGCAACGAATGCGCAATGTTCGTCCGTCTTTCAGAAGTCGTTTCGGATGGATAGTTGGCTTACCTTATACTGCGTTTTTTTATATGTTACTACGTGGAAATGAACCATGGACCTTCAAAAATAAAATTGAAGACTGATTTCAGACAGATTCAGCGTGGAAAGTAAGTATTTTGCAGCAATTAATATTTCAAGATTCAAAATGTTACTTTTAAATCAAAAATCAATTAGTTGACTTTCACATACCGTATAGACTTCTATTTGATATTTGTTCCATCCGTCCTATGATGCGAGTGTCAAATTATAGTAAATTCTGTGATATATTTACAATATTATTACTCAAAATTTGAAATTAGTAGAGTTAAGAACACTTTTAATTGTCTGTTTGATGCATTTGCGATCACAGATTCAAATTTTTATAATAATGGTCTGAGTTAAGAAGTTTATTTTTCTTTTTTTGAATACTTTGTAACTTGATTCATATCTCCTAGAGAATTATTTATATAATTATGTAGATCTGGTTCATGGCCGTTTTACTTGCAGTCGAAATCTATTAACTACCCGAAACCTGACGGCAAAGTGACATTTGATATTCTGTCTTCAGTGGCTTTGACTGGCACAAATCATGAAGAAAATCAGCCTTCTCATCTGTTATTGAGAAATGATGCCGATGCTGAGTTAACTACATGGCGTAGGTTTGCTGGCATGACTGAACGGTTCTGTCCGGCAGGTATGCAAATTCGTTGATTTGTTAGTGTAATCTTTAATTATACTGTTGGCTTTTTCCTAGCGAAACACGATATTAATTATGTTTAAAATCAAAAAGATATTAAATAATACATAATTCTAAAAAAATGAAAGATATTAAATAATAATATATATATTATATAATAATAAGGATATTAAATAATATATAATTCTAGAAAAAAAAATGTCTTATATTTTACTATTTTTAGGACCTTAATAGTTGGTGTAGAATTTTTGTAATTTTAATAATTATAATTCATGATGTTCTCATTTTCGATTACATAGATTCATGAACATCAGTAGTGAAAATATATAAACTTTTGAAATTTCTTAAGTTGTGGCAAGAAGCAATGGCTGATTCAATGATGTTCTGATTAAAGGATAGTGCCCTAATAATGATGGAATTATTGTGGTCTTTGCTAACATTTATTTTAACATTATTGCAATGTTTAGGTGTTTATGAATATGTGCCATGCGAAACTAAAGTCAATACAAGAAGGCTTCAAATAAATTTCCAGAATTGTATTCACTGTAAAACATGTGATATCAAGCAATAATATTCAGTGGGTTGCACCAGAAGGTAAATTTATCGATATTGAATGTAAAAAAATTTTGCAGCGTAGCATCTGAAAGTCTGAAAGTGCTTAATACACAACAATAAAGGCATTTAAATTCATCCATAATAAAATTAAATGTGTTTGCACATTATTTCTCATTTTTTGCAATAATGCATAGAATCGTACAAATATATTTGTAATACGTTGTTTTTTTTTTTTCTGCTATTAACGTGGATTAATTTGTAATAAATCTTATATATCAATATAGAAATAAGAATGATGATATTACACAAAAACACTCCTAAAACTAATTGAAATGAAAGTTCCTCAAGCGATGAGTAGTGTATTAACTTCTTTTCAATCTCTTCCTTTGAGTCTTTTGAAATAAAATGCTTAACTTGTAATTTACCATTAATTATTAGTGAATGTTTCATGATAGATGCTATAAAGATCACATATATCTGAGAAAAATATTTAAATCTTTTGAGTTACATATGGATAGTAGATAGTGCTTATCCATAAAAATGACAATTCTTCATTCTATGAAAACTAATTACATTTTTAGGAAATGAAGGTTGAAGAAATCTCTTTTACAACTTGTTTTTTGTCTTGTACATGATCTTCACTTTTTTATAAACACATTTACAAGATAAGCAAAATTATTTCTTTCCGATCTTCAGGAGGCAATGGTCCGAAGTACAATGGGATGTAATGGTCAGAATTACTGAGATATCCTGACTAAAATACTTCAGTTTTATTTTGAGAAATTTTGAATACAATTTTAACGATCAATTTGTATCCCGGTGCTTTTGCTGCTTTTAGGTTAAATTTGATTCAGTATGATATATTTTGTTATTTCTTATTGATGCGGTCTTTCATTACCGAACTTTGTTGTCTTTTAGTTATTTCTCTATAGAAGACTTCTGATTACGTTTAGTCTGTAAATCTCTTCGAGACGAGTGCCTTTAAATCGTTGCTTCAAATTTAGCAGTTGTCCTGTAGAAATAAAATTAGACGTAATTTTATGATTTGGAAGATAATAGCAGGAAATAGTGGAATATCTTACGGAAGTCGTGTTTTTGCTCTGATTAGCATTTCACTGTCTAAATTGCTGGTATTAAACTTACTGTAACGTTAAACTTATATATGATAATTGCTTGCATTATGGAATTTTCTTATTTATTGATTTGAACTTTGTATTCTGGTAAGCTTCAAGCATGATTTCTATTGTATTTTCAAATTACTTTGTGCAAATTGTCTCGGAAGATTAAAACTTGTTCATTTGTCTCTAAAAGCATAATAGGGATGATGAATTATTTATTAGCAAACAGGATAGCAGATTTTAAGAACAGTAAGAAATATTAGATTGCCCATTTCTTTTAAACAGATCTTAATTAATTATCGATGACAATCAATTAACCTAGCGCTGTTTAGTTTAATATATCAAACAATGCTTTTAGATTCAAAATTCGGTGTGATTTAAGTAGCTTATTTCAAATGTACACCGAAGAAGTTAGGAATTAGCTATTAGTTTTTACACAGTGTATGCAATTGATAATCTTTTTCATTTAAAGTTCTGGAAACTTTATTATTATTGAAGATTTATGGTTATCTATGTTATTTTGATTCTCAGGAGCTATCTTGCTAGCAAATTAAAAAAAAAAAAAATTGGCATAGAATAGCTGAAATTATTTTTGTTAATTATTATTAATAATAATCATTATTATTGATAGTGATGTTAAGATAGACTTGCTCTTCAAATATAATTAATTATGATTGATAGTGAATAACAGATGTGTAACATCGTTATAACTAATTGAAACTAGTTTAAGAGAGGTTGATTGGCTGACACTCTTTAATTTAACCATGAAAAAAAGAAAGAAACTGGAAATAATATTTCATTGTTATGTCTCTATGTCTTCATCATTTTCATTTAGAATAATTTGTAAAATTTCATAAAGAACAAAAAGATTAGACATAGTTTAATTAAAATACGATCAGTGATCATTTACTAAATTATTAGTGCGACTAAATAACGAATGCTTAAAATGACGCAACAGCATCTTTTCTTTACATTTCTTTGATTTGTTTTATTAAATAAAATTAATTTAATGCTTCCTTCCATTAATATGCAATGGAAAAATTCTATTATTAATTGTTGTTGACAGTGCACATATATAAATGAGGTTGAACAATTTACCTAACTAATTGATACTTTAGGCTTAAGAGAGTAAATTTAGCATCTTATTATTCTTAATTTTGGACTATAATTTGTTTACTCTTTTTGTCAAAAGCTAAATTTTTGATAGAATGCTATCATTAAGTACAATTAAACAAATATTTTATATTAAAATTTATGTTTTGAAGTAAATTTTCTGTTTTTTCTTTATATTATCTATACCACATTTGTTAATATTATTAAATAATTTTGAAATAAAATTTTTAATTCTTTCATAATTCAGTAAATAGTTGTAAACGTATAAGAAATGTTAGAGATTTAAATTGATAAATAATATCTAGTCATTCTCTTTAAAAGTTTTAATTTTCAATTGATCTTTGAGACAAAATGATTGAAAAAGAAAAAATAGAAGAGGAAGAAACAAAAATATTCTAGAAATAACCAATTATGATTTAAAATATGATTGCTATTGCTATTTGTATTAAATTACTGATTTGATTGACAATGTAAATACAATCATATAGCTTCAGTGTTGCTAATTTTTGCTGAATAAAACTTTAATCAAATATTAAAAATTCATTTTTAAATTCTTTAAATTTAAAGTTTTTAAATTATAAACTTCAAATGATATGATCTATTAATTAAATTATAAAGCTTTTAAGGATTCAAATTTCGGATTTGCACTCAAAGAGCTGTTGCGTTTTTTTTTTTTTTTTTCTGTCCAATGTTTTATTCAAATCTAATTGAATGAAAAAGAAGTATTTAAGATAAATTAAATAAATTTCAAAATTGGCTACCTTTTCTTACATTAGCCTAATTTCAACTGATAACATTTGTGGCAAAGAAAATTTTTTACTGTTCTATCATAATTTGAAATGTATACTAGAAAAGTGATTAGCTGAATGAAAAAAATTCCCATCAGCTAAATTTAAATCGTTTATTAATTATTTTTTGAAGAATTAAATTTTCATTAATCAGTAAGACTACAATTTTTGAAAAAAAAAACAGTACGGCAAGTTTTTTTTAATAGTATTGAAATAAAAGATATAACTTATTATTACAAATGTTACACTATCATATGTTCAGGTGGTATCGACTTCTATTTTATTTTATTTTAATTTTATTTTTTTGTTTATGTGTAAAATAATTTTTGTAATCAAGGATTTTTCAGATTTTAGCTTCTTTTTTTTGTACTCTTTTCATCCATTTTTTTTTTTTTTTTTCATCTCATTATTTTACTAAATTTCGTTCAATTATTAAATATTTAGAAAATCTGTTGAGTTTTTCAAAAATCATTAGAATCTTAATAGCAATTTTTAATATGTTCAAACTAAATTTAACTTTAGCTAAACACATGGTATCATTGAAATGTTAGTTTTAAAAGCATGAATAATTCTACAGCTATTTTGTTTCAATTGTAAGTTATGTCTTCAATTACATTTCTTATTATAAGTAAATTTAAATTAAATACTGCGCTATTGCAAATTCATTACGATAGGCTAACAGTTAATTAGCATCATTTTATTAGAGAAAATATGAAGTGACAAAGACAAATCTTTTAAATTACTCACATCTCTTCTATCAATGATTGTTTGATTGAAATTATTTCATTCATTTTAACTTTTTGTAAGAATTTACTTTTTTTTTCTGTTATTCAATATTTTAATTGAAATTATTAGAAGTTTAAAAATTCACTCAAACTATCTTTTTTTTTTCTTTTTAGACTGATTTTAAAATTTTGCTAAAAATAAAAATTAACTGAAAAGGAATGAATTATCTCACAAAACCTGTTTTCAACGTCTTTTCATTAATATGGGACCAATTTAATACTGAAATCAAAATAATTTCATCTGTTGTGATATTGCACCAATAAATATGATTGAATTAACAGAAAAAAAAAAGAAGGGAAAGAATGAAAATATTAAAATGATTGATAAATAATTTAATAATTAAATCATCAAATGCACACTTATTTTTAAAACTGTTATTATAGAATTATGTTTGACTTATGTGATATCGTTATCAGATTAATTCATAGCAATTGTATATTTTTAACTTTAACATCATTTATATAAATTTATTGATGATTTCAATTTTATTTTTTATCTAAATTTAAATTATAAAATTTCATTTATATAAATTATAAAAATTTTTAAATAAGTTATAAAATTGTAGTAAATTAATTTGATGTCATTTGAAAATTGTATAGTGAAACTAAAATGATATTAGTTTTTTTTTTTTTTTTGACAATGAGCGAATAAAATATCATGATGAACAGTTTTCTTGTGACACCAATAATTTCAAACATTTGTATCAATCGTCGTTCAACTATTTGTCATTTTTTGGACATTGATGTTCTGCAAATCGATGATTCGTTAAGAGTTTATCTTGTTGTCATCATTCTTTCTTCCAATTCTTTTCTTCTATATATAAAAAAATTTATTCTATCATTTAATTATATAAATTATTTCATCCTTCTTTTGCTATCTTTTCTTTTTATTAGTAAAAAAAAAAAAAAAAAAAAAAAAGTTACAAATTAAATAATTTTGTTATTAATATGAGAAAATAATAGTAATGTAAATATTTTAGATGTTTATCTAAATAAGATCAAACATATTTTACGATTTTAAAATGCTAATTTTCATTTCACTCATTTAATTTTATTTCTTTTTATGCATTTCATAAAATACTGAGAATTATTCGTAGAGTTTTAATTCTTATTTATATTACAAATTATGATATTAAATCAGAATTAGAAATGATGTTAACGCATATAATTTATTAATTGTAATAATATATGCGAATGAAATTTTATTCATTT